TAAAAAGAATACATATGACGGAAACAAATCAAAATGCATATCAACAAAACAAAGTTTTGCATTCTTACATCAAAAAATAAAGGCAACCGCCAATGTATTTCCTTCCCTTGCCCTCTATTGTAGCAAACTTATATTCTTCAACCTCTTTCATCAATTCGCTCACCACAAGATTTGACCAATTGAAGGAATCTAACTTGTCTTTCCTCACAACTAATCATTTTTCACAAACGCTAGGTTGCACTTCCACATGCAAGGAGGGCACAACAACGTCCTAAGAGTGTAAAGAACAAACATGGGCTCAAACATTTCATCATATTTCCCTGAAATGATCATGGTCTTTACCTCACTAAAATGTTTTTTTGTTGGTCAAAATTTGTCTTCAATATAGAATATACCTTCTTATTTGGTTCTTTTTCCTCCACAACATCCACTACCTCATAAGGCAGGCCTAATATATTTCTAACTACCTATCTATTAATCACTAGCCTCACATTTCTATGAATATTAATGATATTGCAGAGTCAATATATCTAATCATTTATGTATAGATAGCATGATCTAGTTTTGTGCACCTAACAACTAACATCCTATCAAACCCATTTTTCAACCCTTTTCTTCAAGTTTTCATTATTCCTCACATTCTCTGCCACTTCCACAAGTTGTTTCGGTGAGCCGTGTCAACATTTCACCTCCTTTACTTGAAGAAGTTCCTCCTATCCTCTTTCTTTCCTCTTTTGCCATTCTAGCATACTTACTTCTTTCTTCCTCAACAAGTTTTTCCATGTTTTTCTTCTTGCAACTTTGTTAGCTTTTGAATTTTTCTTGAACTTGCCTTTTCCTTTCTTGTCTGATCATAACTCTTGTTTAAACTTATATAAACTATTAACCCTTGACCCTTTCCCTTCTTCATTCCCCTTCCCCTCGCCATCTTTTCTTACCATCCAAACTTTTCAAAGTTCACAACCTATTTCAACATTACCAAAAATTAATTGTATCTTACTGGTCATAGGATAAATTGCCTTTTCCTTTCTTGTCTGATCATAACTCTTGTTTAAACTTATATAAACTATTAACCCTTGACCTTTCCCTTCTTCATTCCCCTTCCCCTTCGCCATCTTTCTTACCATCCAACTTTTCAAAGTTCACAACCTATTTCAACATTACCAAAAATTAATTGTATCTTACTGGTCATAGGATAAAATCCCCACAAATTGCTATAGAAACTTCGAAATAAATAAACAACTTGACAAACAGAGATTAAGGGTGTCAAATAATGCACCTCAAAGCCAAAGCCATTGAAACTCCAATGCCACCATCGACGTCACTTGGTATCACTATTGCCTTGGTATCACCTGATTACTCCTCAAGTCACAACCAATTTAACAAGCCACCAGTGCTACCAGTCTTTTCCTCTTCTTCCTTCATCGTTCCACTGCTCGTGAAAGCTCTAGTTGAACATTTGTTTTAATTTTCAAATTTAATTTTCTAGGAGCATTTTGGTCTTTTAATGACAAGACAATAATGCCATAAAAGGACCTTATTTTTCAAAACTCTTCAACTCCTTTTTAGTAATTAATTTGTTCGTGCGGTATTTTTTTACAATTTTCCTTAATTACTAAAATATTCTTATTTGATTTATTTAAAAAAAAAACTGACCTAATTTTAAAAAAAACTGACCTAATTTACTTTGATTTTACTCTTTTCTGCCATACTTGATGTTGCAACACTCGCTGTCTGTTAATTTACTTTCATACTTGCTTTTGGCAATGCCTTAATTACTTTTCTGCAATGTCAGCCAGTTTGAAACAACAGGGAAAGAATCATGGTATGCTTTTTGATCTAATCTTGCTATTACCACCAATTTGTTTGCTAGAGTTGGGGGAATCCGGGAGGAGAGGGGTTAAAAATTTTTAAAAATAAAATAAGGATATCTTAGTAATTATATCTAAAATTTATTTAAAAATAGAATATTTGAGACTTGATGGTAGTTCGTATATTTCATGGGATTTCATGGTAATTAGAATTCTTTGTAGTGAATTTTCCTTCAATATTGCCATGTTGATGATTTGTTTTGCTATGATGTGGGAATTTTTAAAAAATTTTATTTTATCTAAAATATAAAATATTGAATAGATTATGTGTGTGTTCAATTTTTTAATTAACCCTCTTTATTAAATAACTAATGAGAATATTTTGAATAAGTCAAATGTTAAATTTATTACACTTAAGAGCACAATTGAAAAGTGTAAAAATTTTAAAAAATTGAGATTTTAACTAAATTTTTTTAATAAACATAAATTAGTTAACATTGATTTATATTATAGTCCAGATTAGGGAGTATAAGACAAAATTAGGGTAATTAATATTTTTTAATTTTACCCCTTATTATTTGTCATTTGAATTTCTAAACAACAATTTATTACATTATTAATTATAAAGAAGGATAAAATTAAAAATTTATATTTTTTTACAATTTTAAGGTTATAATTAACATTTCTTAATAATTCAAATTTTATTAATTTTGTATTATATTAAGGACCGGAATAGTATATTTTAAAAGTAAAGATTAGTAGTTAATGTTTTTTAATATGATTTCTCCTTCATTCACATTAGTTTGTAATTTTTTAACACATTATATAGTGTCAGCGAATTTTAGTGAAGGGTTTAGAAAGTTAAATACTTTTTACAAACTTATGTTCTTAATTACTCAATAAATTTGAAAAAGACCTTTTTTTAACCAATATATCTTTTTATTGGGAATAATCTATTTGAGACATTATCAGACATTAGATATAAACATTTTTTTTTTTTACAAGAGCAATTCGAACAAGCAAAAATACTTTCAACCCATTCAAAAACTTCAATGAGAATTCTCATTTGACGTAGATTTATAATTTTTCTAGGACCATTCAACACCTATATTAAGGAGAATATTGAACCATTTAAAGAGAAATGATAATGATATCAAATAAGCAAGATAATGACATTTTTAGGCATTGAAATCTTAAAATGTCCGGTCGGTACTTTAATTGACAAACTTGCTTTTATTCACAAATTCGTCCAAATCTCAGAATACTACACTAGAAATCTTAAAGATTAGTAGGGTCTGTTTGATTTATATTTTCAAAAATATTTTTTTTTGTTTTTGAATATAAAAAATTAAAAAATTGTTTGAACAAGTATTTTTGAATTTAATTATTTTCAAAATATTTTCATTTTAAAAATAAAATATTTTATTTTATTTATTTTATTTTATTTTTATCATAAACCACTACCATTAACCACTTGCAACAACTATCACTATTATTCAATTTTTAGTTCTAAAATTTTTTTAAATTAATATAACTGAATGAATCTTTATTTTATTTTATTTTGAAAAATAATTTTAAAACTGTATTACAAAATAATTTTTTAAAATAAAAAAGGGAAAATGCCTATGCAGGCCTCATAGTTTGCATCAATTTGTAATCAAACCCTTTAATTTTGTTTGTTAAAATTAGACCCTTATACTTTTACATGTCAAATCTCTTGGCCGTTCTAGTCTCAATGTTAATGGGGTAAGATGTGACATAGTTGATGACTGTGCACACAGATAAGTAAATCCACATTAGACGTGACGTGGCTCCCTCTGGTGCAGAATTAGAAAAGTAATTCTAATGCTTCAAGCTCATGAAGTCGAGTTAGGGCAAGAAACATTAGGCGAGACAACAGAGGAAGGTTAGGGAAGATGGCAGCTCGACGCTGCACAGACTGGTTTAACAGAAAAATCTTGAGAAATTATTGTCATTGTTACATTTAGATATAACATATGAAAGCATGATTCCAAAAATGATGAATTGTGTGAGGGAAGAAGGCTGACAATGAACAAGAACGATCAACCAACTAAGCGTGTGGGAGGGAAGAAGGCTAATGCAAACAAGAGGAATCAACCGAGGAAGACGAAATGGCACAGTTGCTCTCCTACTCGCTCAATGAAATAGCGACGTGTATCCTATACAACACTAACCGAGCGCGATCAGCCAAACTTTATGAGTCATCCATATCCAGCTGGGCAAAGTTAATCTATGTAGCAAAAAAAATCCACATAGATGATGATTACATACTCTATTCTATCTCAGTTAACCACATCAGCTTTTTTTGATAGTGTTAAGGTCCACATGTTTAAGTATAAAAGTTCAATTCTAACAAATAAAACTAGAGAGGAGCAATTAAAAATTAATGCAAACTATAAGGCTTCCTGATGTGTCCCCCAAAAAAAAAAAAACAGAGGGAGAGAGAGAGAGAAGACACCAAACAGCCCTAAATTGAAAAGGATCATCATATGAACATACTTTCAATTAAACATTTCTAATTCATATTCACTCTTCAATTATGAAAATATCAGAAGTTAGAGAAGCAAAGTATATAAGTTGGAAATGGTGAAATAAATGACATTAAAAAAAAAAAGACTAATGGAAAACTATTACAATTGTAACCTTCAATTTAGCTTTTGGAATTTCCCACTAATTCTTCTGGAATATCTGGCTTATATGTGAAAATGGCAAAAGGATGTTTTAGTTATTTTTTCATTTTCTAAATATGAGTGGACCTGATCTAACTGAGACGGACCCTGAGGACCAGAAAAACAGTTTAGGAGTTTCTTGGATTTTACCATGATTGTCCTTGTGTCCTACCAAACAGTTTTAACAAATAATCCAAGAATCAAGCGGGTGTGATACAGATAATATGGTCTAGACTCCTTAAATTTCATTCCAAAGTTTGATTATTAAATATGTGTATAGAAAGCATTGTTTAAGAAAGCACAAATCCTTAAATGACACTCAAATTTTTTAAAAGATTAATCTCAAGTTTGCTGGTCATAAGGATACCTTGAGAAACCAAAACAATAAAAACGAAAACATCCAAGTCCAACTACTTTTACCTTTAACTTTATCCAGCAAATAATTGCAGGGCATGGAAATGCTAGCCATAAGATGATTGCTTAAACTGAAACCAGTAAATATCATCGAAAAGTGAACAATTATTCACATTCAAAGATTACTGCAAGGTTAGGAAACTTCAACTATACAGAAATCATTCGCACTAGTCATGCTGCTACGATGGCCAAAATAGTGTTGGTACAAAAAGAGAAGAAAAGAAAAGAAAAGGCCTGAATACTGATATAGACAGGCAGCAGCTCTCCATCTTCTCCATCATAGATGAAACATACAATTGGTTAGGTGAGCAAAAGATGAAAAGCAGGGGGAACAAATAAAATCAAATCAAATCAAATCAAGTTGCAGATCATCAAACTGGTCCTGTCATCTGGTGGTTTCAGAAGCTGCCCATATTCAATTGTCTCCTTCATGTAGTTGGAAGAGATGGAAATAACCACAACAAATCACAACTTGCATATGCCTGGTGCTTTTATATCACCTCTAAAATATTTAATAACCATTGGAAGGAGGCTTTGGGGTTGGACCAAGTAGGCGTGAAAATGTCTGCTGTGAACGCCCAGTATTCCCCCTTTGACCTGATGATCTATCGTTACTTTTTGGTTCTGACGTGGATCTAGAGAAAGCTTGAGCAAGTTCAACAGCCGAAGCAGCTTTACCATGCAGCAGACCAGTAGCATCGGTCTGCTCAATAGGCTTACGCCACATCTCAGATGAAGGTTTCCTATCAGAGATCTGCTGCCTGTCAGTTGCTCTCATGTTTCTCCGATTATCACTGTGCCAATTCCTCCTCTGCGTTCTCTCAGCATCAACCCATTGATCCCTCCTTTCAGGTTTTCTTGCAGCCTGTTGATCAAGATGAGCATCTTCGGGTAGTTCACTATAGCAGGTCTGCATTGAATGATCAGAAAGCTTCTCGGCTCGATCATACTCAATCCTTCACACAAAACATTTGTGAGAATTGTATCGTATTTTGACCATATATGAAAACACACAAACAAGACAAGTCATTACCTATTTGTCTCATCAGCTGCACCGTAATTGTTAATTGCATCGTCAACCCATCGCTCCTTTAAAACCTGAGGAAAAGGTCAGCAAAAATATCCAGCAAGAAACACAAAGCAAGCTAAGCCAAAAAGGGTGGAAGGAGTGTTGATTGATGTGACTGACAGCATATGGCACATGTTAAAGACGCATAACTGATAAAAAAAACAGAACAAAATACAATAAAATTCCACCTGAATGAATTACAAAAGCATTTTGAAGGGGTGAACAATGCATGCATGTAAAACTACAGTTCCAATGACATGTAAGAAGTACTAAACATTAAAACGGGCATTCAGGACATGAAAAATAACTCACCAGTTCTCGAGGTCGAGCACCCCAAATAACGCATTCCTGAATCATTTGCATTGTCAATTCATTATTTAGGCATGAAATAGTGGAATATTTAATCAACCAAAGTTGCTGAAAATAGTTCATGCTACATAATAATATGTCCACAAGTGTGAAATATGTAGCCCAAACAGAGAAAAAAAATTTATGAAAAGCATTAAACAAAGACCCAAAAGATAATTACCAGGACATTACAGGGTTCAACCATAATGATTTCTTCATAAGCACTTGATTTGAACAAGAAACACACAAGCACGCACCTTTCTGGTGGAGAATTTGAGACTTTTATGCGCCCAAAAATAGACTTATGCTTGCCATAGAAAAATCTAGAATTTAATCAGGTTTATTTTATACGATTACCTTTATTTTTAAAAAAGTGAGATCTTTAATTATATTGAATTAGGCTTCAGCTTATCTTATCTTATTTCGATTCAAATTGGTATAAATCAGCATCATTATTATTTTATTATTTGTATATAGGGCTTTTATAAGTAGAGTTTTCTCATTTGTTAGACCTTTTTGCCTGTTAAATAATATTAAGATCATCCTGTGGTGCAGGTATAATTGTACAAGATGAACACTCTCAAAATACCGTACTGCAATGTTATTTGGAATTATTTCATTGGTAAAATTCATGCACACATACTGCAGTTTCAACCTTTGAATCCTCTCTCAAGAAGCCATTGATCCCAAAGATCATCTGCTAAATTAAAAAATTAAAGTGCACCTTTGGCTAGCAAAAAACAACAAATTGCACACAGCAGAACCTAGGCAAGAAGAGGCTTAGTGGAATCAGACCAATGTCTGCTAGGCTGTGATAAGTAAGATGTCCTGCACTTATTGAGAGACTAACAACATGCTGAGGAACGAAGAACGATGGAGGGTAGTGGTGAAACCAGAATTTAGGAACCTTTTCAAAAGCATGGAGTGGGAGGATTGGACCAAGCAGTACCGCTGAATGGAAGCAGGACAAAATTTCACCAAACAGGTACCTTGGAACATGCTTTTTGGACACATTTGTTGGGATATATGGTGCTAGTGCTACAGATGCAAGCAAATGTTTTCTACAGAAAAACTCGGTAATCTCAAATCTGTCTTTGCAAGCTTTCAAAAAGAAAAAATGGATTTAGACAGATAGAATAGCTTGTATACTCTAAATGGATTTAGACCTACTGATGCTGTAAGATTAGTGTAGTGGCTCCCTTAAGGAAGGCATGGAGAATCAAATGCAAATTGGGTTTTGGGGTTCAATAGCAAGGTTGGTTCCCTTCCCATTACTATTATTGAAATCCAGAGAATCATTCATGGTCTACAATTATGCTGGACAAGAGGAATACAGAAAATAGAAGTGTTCACCAATTGTGAGGATGTGATTAATCTGCCTACGAGAGAGGAATTGACCTCACACCTTTACCAGGACATCATAGATCACGCACAGAAGCTTTTCTATAGAAAAGCTAACAATTGTGCTCATTTTTTGGCTACTAATGCAGATGACACGATAGGTAGTTTTAATGCCCTTTATCATACGAACATAGAAGAAACACATCACTGGCTTAAAGAGCATTTAAGATACAGATATAACAATATACTCCACATTTCCATTCTCATGGTCAAAATAGATGTCTAATGGTCACACAAAACAAACAAGAAAAACTTCCATTATTCATTTTAAGCATGCAAAATGCATTAACAATGTTGTTGAAAAAGTAAGGCAGAGCACAAAACATTACTAAAACAAACCAGAACTATGTCTACCTACAAATCAATATAAATTTTCACACTTCACATACGCTTGCATATCTCAATTCAAAATTATCAAAGAATATACCCCCAAAAGAGTCATGACCCATCCTTCTGTCAAAAGGCAAGTTCTTTCTTGCTTAAAATGTGACATAGTGTGGTTCCTAAACTAGCAAGAAATGGGACTCCAAAACTAATCAGAAATCAGAATAAAACAAATGCTCATATTTTAGCTCACTTAATCCTCTGAATCATTTTTATAGGCCAAAAGAATCCTATCAATTGTATGATTTTCATAAAACTGTGAACAATATGCAAAGTGAAGAGAGAAAAAAGGCATCTGTTCTTCAGATTCAAAGGTTGCTCCTCACAGATAAATGCTTAAAATATGGTTCCTAAATCATGTGTATGTGTGCGTGCACTCACTCACAGATGAAAATTTTTAGCTCACTTTACAAACCTGTCTGATCTAGTGTTTCCTTCCAATTTTTCAAGGGATTGTGACTGAGGTTTCAAATTCAGCTTTGGGCGCTGTCTTTCCTCCATTCTGCTTTCAGTTCCAGCTGAGTCAGGATTCACAATATTGGCATGGCCATGTGCCTCATTAACAATTTCAACATGGCTAGAATCACTACCTTGGCAATATAACTGCCATGAAGCAAATGAGAGAATCCATGAAATCAATATAAAGTAGCATTTCATGTGAAGTAGTCTCATAAGTCGAGGGTGTGAATACCTGTACATTATCAGTAACAGAAGGTTCTGAATTTTCTAGTGGCTTTGTCCTAGGTAATAAATTCAACTTGGGCCACTCTCTTGGTTCAGATGCCATTGAGTGTTGCAACTCAGGTTCCCGAAGTCTAGCATCATTTAGAGCTGGTTGTACCCCGTCAGTATGGTGTTGCCTTGATTGCACTTCTGAATATTTGGAAATCCCATGTCTTTCGTGCTCCAGTAAATCATTTCTATGACCACGAATCTGGTCATCAATAGCCAATCTCCTTTCAGCAGGTCTCGCCAACAACACATCAGGATATCCCTTCTCATCTACTGTGTCTATCCTATTGTGGCTCCTATTGCCATTAACATTGGTTGGCCTACTCTCTGCTTCAGAGGATGTACCAATCTCAAAATCCATCTGACTTTGAACTTTCTTTGACAGCCATCTACCGGAAGACACCTTGTCAATGGCACTTGCATGAGACAACTTGGAAACAGCGTTAGGACCGGAACAAGCAGAGTGATCTGGCTCAACAGTACTGGCCACATCCTTTCTCATTGCCCATACGTTTGGGGAAGCCCCATTGGTTCCCTGGTCCCTACTACCTCTTAAATTCTGAGAATTCACCCCGACATGACTTGCTTCAGTCAGCCTTGCAGAGTATGAATTTCCTTTCCCAACTTGATATTGAGAGCTGGAAGGCACCTTGGGGCCTAATGAATCCCCTCGCCCGGACTTCACCTCAACGCGAGAAGGCGGGCCCCAAATACTTTCACCACTAATAGTTCTACGGGGAGCTGAACCTGAGGTGCCACCTAGCGGTTTACGCTCGTCCTCATCAAAATTACTACCAATTGGAGCAGTGTGGGTGAGAAATGGGGTCTTGTCATCGTAATGCCTAGATAGTGAGGAGTTGTGCGGCAAGGAGCCATGATCGGACGGACCAATGGGATTACCCGCGATGAAGGTCGCTCATACCCAGAACGATCTGAAGTTTTAACAGTCCTGCGTCAATTTGGCAAAATGTTACACGGGTTTTCATATACAAATCCATGAATCTTGAGAAAAAAAAAAGAGTCGAATGGAACAAATGTGAAGATAAAGTACACATAATCGGAGCCATAGATCTACTTTATCTCAAACTAAGAACCCACCCACATTTCACAACCCCAGAAGCATTGTATAAGAATTTACAAAAAAAAAAAAAACAGAGAGAGAGAACAAGAGAATGAAATAGTAAAATCAAAATATGAAAAGGGAAACTGCAATAAAGAGGACATACAGGCCGGGAGCAGAAGGTAGAGGAAGATCAGAAGGAATAGAACCGCCATGGAAGTCCTTGAGTGTCATAGTATTGCCGTTGCCCTTCTTCTTGGACATTCTTTCCTTCACTACTCACCGGTATAGAAACTTGAAAGCCTGATTCAGATACCAAGAAGATGTGGAAGGAAGGAAGGAAGGAATAATCCAATTGAAGAGAAGAATGAAGACGCAAGAGCGAGCACGAGAAGGGATGATGGCTTTGCTTTTGGATTTGCCACTTCCCACTCCAAACGAACTCTGCTAGCAGACCATAATGGTCATTTAATAATACAATTTTCTATATAATTTATATATCTAATTTATCTTCTATATAAGAAACGATCAAAATATATTTTTTACATTTAACTTGACGACCCCCTCAAGCTTAATTTTAGGATCCATATCCATCAAGAAAGATAGGATCTTTTGAAGATAACATTGAAAATTGGGTCGGTTAAACACTTCAATAAATTTTTTTTAATCATAGTTACAGTTTTACATATTAAATCCTAGAACTAACACTCGTCGGATTCAATAATCCTGATTTTCAAGAACTTGTTTGAATATGAAACTCTTTTTTTCCATTGAAAGTTTTTTATTGTGTTATTTTCACCCTCAAGAGAATGAGCTCACTTCATAGAATTTTGCCACATCAGCAGATTTAGAAGAATAGTGGAGGCGGATTTTGCATTAACGCTGAAATACGACGGCGGACAATCCTTGGTGATGGAAGATCTTTCAAGATTAGTAGTAGAATGAATAATAATAATAATTAGAGATCTAATCATGAACAATTGGACCACAACATAACAGATTGCTACTGAAAATGTGCAACCAGCGACTTCCTCGACCCATTACCAACCAAGTATTTTAGCTTTCTTTTTCTCCTTTACTTGCCAAAAATAAATAAATAAATAAATAACATTGAGGTCCCTTGTAAAAAAACTATTAACAAGTTGGTCCTCCATGTATCGACCCTTTTGATATTGATAACAATGATGTACTGTAATAAGATTATTATTATTATTATTATTTTTAAGTAGGGACCAAATTGAATGATTCCAAAATGTCATTCTCCCTTAAGCTTATGCTTACTAGTTATTGCCATCCAATCCTCTTCATCATGTGATTAATCTGTCTCTATTAATTAAGTAGTTTTTGACCCATGCATCACAAGGAATATATTGAATTATACTATTGAAACATTAGAAATCAAGATACTATAAAATAAATAAAAGTGCATCGATGTAATAACAGAAAATAATTTCAATAAAAAAAATCTTGATCTTACTTGTTATTCATAATATGATTAGGTTTATATTAGAAAAATAAGTACAAATATAAATTAAAGAATAGTGATGGAACATGCATTGTATCGTCTATAATATAAGAAATGAAAGTGTAATGTTGTATGTTTTGTGCATGAATATGATAGGGAGAGTGAGAGTTATATTATTTGCTCTTCTTAATGATATTTAAAATAGAGTCTTGTGTTTTACGAGGTCTTGAGAGATATCATTGCATAGTTCTAATTTTAAAAAAAAAAAAAAACCAAGCAATTATATAATAACTGTATTGGTTCTGATATGGCTACTGCCCGCATTAAAAAAAAAAAATTATTTGTTTTTCTTTAATAAATTTGTTGTGTCTTAGGCCTATGTTAGAATGTGAATTTTTTCTCAACCCATTGTCAAGTTTGCTAGAGAAAAAACTCATATGTTTCTTAAATATGAAGTGTCTTATGCATCACGTGGTAACAGTATATAGATATGAGGCACATAGCGCGAGGTTACGCATGTTTACAAGTTGATTTGATTTGACAGTTAATATAATGCATGAAATTTATTAATGGAAAAATATAAAAAGAATTTCAAAAATTCACCAGGCAATTTTGACTTATAAAAAATGTTCTCGAGCCCAAGAAGATAAAACTTGTACCGTAGTAATGTGAGTTTCATTTGTGTGATACCACCTCAATGAGCCAATTACCTCCGAACCCACATGCTTCTTTATTATAATAAAATTTTTAAAAGAAAAAAAAATAAAAAGGGAGAAAAGTTGGGTAGTGTGAAACTATATGTTAATTACATAATAAAAAGACTTTAGACCTTATACAATGCGGATATTAATCTTTTACTTAGTTTGAGAAAAATTCAGGTGATTGAGGAAATTTTAGTGAGTTCATTTTTTTTTTTACAAAAAACGACAAATGAGGTCATAAAATTTTAATAAAAAGATAATTTAAAAGAAAAAAGAAAAATCAATTAAAACTTTCAACCCTATATTTTCATTTTTAAAAATTAACTCATTAAAATATAAATAATACTGTATCTGTTCAGTATTATTAGTCATTTGTAACCAAATCATAACCCTTGTGCGTTAGTTAAATATTTTTAAAATTATACGCTTTTTTTATGTTTACATTTATTTAATAAAGTATTCCTTTCGTTTAAAAAATGTAAAGTATTTTTTTAAAAGTTTGATATTCAAAAATATAAAATATTTTTAGTCTTTTGAGATATAATTATTGCCTTTTTTCTAAAAGTGTCTTTATTGATAGTAACTTTATATTTATTATAAGGTAGTTAATAGAAGTAAATATGAAAAAATAGGGTTAGTTTAAAAGTAAGTTAGAACTTTATTGGAGGATGAAATTCGATTAAAAATGCCTTACATTTTTGAACGGAGGGAGTATCTCAATTTAAAAACCTTATTCATTATGCCTCTAATTAAAGGGTATGTTTTTTTAAACCTCATTAATTACAAAAATGCCTTATATTTTTTAGTATCTTATCTTAAAAAAAAAATCCTTATACTTTTGGAGGGAGTATGTTAGGAAAAAAAAAAAAGATAACAACCATTTAGAAAGTACAAGAACATTATAAGTTATTACCCGTACATGTTAAAAATTTAAAAAATAATTTATTTATTTTAAATTTTTTTAATTCCTTTAAATGTTGAAAATATAAATCACATTTTATTTTCTTTTATAATACTTCACGATGAAATTTAAAATCTAGTCTAGATAATAATATGCATGTAATTTCTTCATAATTTATTACTCCGTAAATAAATTTAAAATTTTTTAATATAAAAAGTTTAGATTACAAAAATTTGTTACCCCACACGAATTAAAACTTTTGACAACATATTTTATTTTAGAATGTATTAACCCATACACTAAGTGTTCTTATAAGTCAACAAAAATTAATAACTAATTTTAATTATATATAAGTTAAAAATAAAAAATAATTTCATAAACTTTAAAAGGAAAAAAAATAAATATAATTTGAAAAATGTGATTTAAAATAATTTGTTATGGCTTTTTATGCAGAAAAAATTTTATGTCTTTAATTTTGTAAAAAAAAAATATGATTTTAAAACATTCACAAAAATATACCTTAGAGCTACAGTAAAATAATTTTTTTGCTGTACATGTACAGTAAAAATCTACAGTAAAAATCATTGTACTTGACGATATAAACATAAGTAGATGATTTCTTATAGTGCATTCGAGGGACATAACAACATGGAAAAGTAACATTCCATCATATAAAAATACTAGTTCAGTATATCACACTGAACTGCAGCTCCAGATTATTATCACAACATTATTGTAACTATTGGAGCTTCTGCTACAGCTTTGAACCTCTAATAATTCAATTTTTTAGGACTCCATTAGACTTGAAGTACTCCACAGTCTCGTCATAGATCTCTTCTATCCCAAACTGGAAACTGAACCCTTCTTTGACAAGCTTCTCCGGAGAGATTATCAACTTGGCCTTGGAGGGAAAGTCATTAAATCTGCAGTTATAAAATCATACATGATCACTTAACAATTGGCTTTTTGCTGCTGTATAACAGATCTCGAAGACAAGAATTTTAGGCTGAAGAGTCATGTACAGTATTTGGATCTGAAGCTTACTCAGTTGGGATTTTGTACTGAGGGTATCGTTTGCTAAGGAACTTTGCGAGCTCAGGAACACTCGTATTGTGAGCACAACAAATGTATCGACCAGAAGCTGATTCTTTCTCGGCCAAAAAAATGTGTGCCCGGCAAACATCCTTGACATGAGCAAGGGATATTGAACCTGACAACATCTGCATGCCCTTCAAAGCATTTATCAGGAAATCATTACCTGCAATGCAATTAACACATCAATCACTTCATAAACATAGTGACTAGCAGATTTCGATCCTCTTTTAGACATACCGGTATGTCAATAGACAAATTGAAACAGAACAATTAACCTAGTGGGTGTAGCAGTTTATACCTGTAATTAGGGACATGGCTAGACCAAGACTGCTTGGGATTTCTGGAGTGAGAGAAGCACCACCCATCATAGTAGGTACCACAGTGATAAGATCTATATGATTTTCTTCCGCAAATTTCCATGCAGCCTTCTCTGCTAGTGCTTTGGAGGCAGGATATCCCTGTGTTTGCATAAACTTTCTCATTAGAATAAATGTTGAATGATTTGTCTATAACCCTAATTACATGTTCTTGATAACATGCAACTATTCCAAATTCCTAGTTAAGCCTGACCGGTAAAAGACATGAAGACCAGCTAAATCATGAAGAAAGATAACATATAAGCATATTGAAGGTAGGTTGCACAAAAAATGTGTCTAACATGTGTACACATCATTTTAAGATTGATTCGGTCCATCTATCTATTTTAAACCAGATCTACACAAAGATTTTTTCATCGAACAATTACCCAAGTAGGTGGTTTTGCAGTGCTCAAGAAATCAACGTCAGTCCAGTTACTTTCATCCATAACTAGACCAGTCCCTTCTAATGCATTTATTGTGACAGCAGCTGCTGAAGATGTCAAGATCACTCGTTTAACTGCTTTTGCCCTTGCACATGCTCTCAAGACATTCAATACGCCTTGGATTGCTGGTTTGATCATGTCATTCTGCATAGAGTTTAGGAGAAGAATGTGTGCATTAGTATAGACACACAAACAAACATACAAAGATCTATAGTATGATCATGAGTTTTCAATTTTATACCTCAGGATCTTCGGAAGCAAAGTTCACAGGAGTAGCGACGTGGAAGACAAGTTCACAGCCAGTTATAGGGGCATCAAATTTGTCTTCTTCCGTCAGATCTGCTCCAAAAATGTTCAATTCTCCCAATTTTTGCAGTTCTACGAGATGGGATATTTTTTTGGGATCATCTGCTCAAAACATTGGTGTCAGGACATTCTATTCATGACAGAATCTGAACATTCCATTCCAGTGTCAAAAGC